AGGTCTAGGGTCCCTCAGTAGCTGGGTCCCTGTGGGGTTTCTGACCCTCAGATTTGTCTATGTAAACCTCTGGAAATCTGTCAATTAAAGGTCAGGTTTCCCTATCCTGCAGTGGCTCCTAGACACTTGTGAGCTTTTCCTCTGGTAAGGTTTGGTTCTGTCTGTCAATCTCTCTCTCTTATTTTGGGGGCAATGGCTGGCCCTGTGACTTCACTACTCTTACTGATTTTTCAGTTTGTTATACTTTTCATTTGTCAGGATTAAGCGATGACTTCTAATCTTCTTACGTGGACATGAAACAAGATACCCACAGCGATTATTTAAAGTACTATTGTGTCTCACCCCTTCCCCAACACAGCCTGTACTGTACTATACTGATTCAAGGGGTAGATCCTGATCAGCCCAGACCAATCACAACACGCATTCTCCAACCCACTACCTCAAGCCTATTCCATGACTGTAAGGGCAAAGGTGCTGTTTTTGCCACACTATAAACAAGCTGAGGCTTACGCATCTTAATTTTACTCTTGGATGATAAAGTGGCCACAATAGGTTGTCGATTTAGCAACATTAGAATTGCCTTGATTTTGCCAATTTGTGTTGTTTGTATTTTCCCTGGGAAGCAACCACATGTTAAGGAATCAATGCAAATGCTTATTAAGCTGCAAAGAGAAGGAACAAGATAAGATTATAATTCATGTTCACTCTTGCTTAAGCTCTAATACACAGGAGCACCACAACAGCATAAAGCACATTCCAGGAAGCTACCGCCGTGCATTGTAGATACTTAAAACACAGCTGATTAAATTATAAAACAAAGCCCTGATTAGTTAAGAAGTTTTTTTACCCCTGCCGAACCTGAGAGCAACCTTCCTGAGGCATTGAGAATAACAGAGGTGCTGTGGTTTGGGTAAGCATCCCTCAAAGGCCCAAGTGTTGGAAACTTGGTCCCTAGAGTTGTGCTATTGGGAGATGTGGAAATTTGAAGAGGGGACCCTTTGGGAGGCCTTCTGGTCATTGTAGGGGTACATTGGAAAGAGTTGTGGAGCCTTGGTTCCTTCATCTTTTTCTCAGGTTCTGGCCATGAGGTAAGCAATTTGTCCCATCAGGGGCCCCCTTCCATGAAGTACTGCCTCACCATGGACCCCAAGGGAATGAGGCCACTGGAACACAGCACCTCTGAAGCTGTGAGTCCAGATAAGCCTTTTCACTTTATAAGCTGATTATCTCAGGTGTTTGTTACAGTGATGGAAAGCTGACTCACAGTAGGAAACTTGGATTCAGAGTTGGGAAGCGCTTTGACCAGTTAGTTAGTCAGGGGTACTGGCTTCCCAGTCACTGAGAATCATCTTGCTGAGTTGAGAAAGCACATAAATGTGTAGATAAAAGGCCCAGCAGAGACAGGAAAAAAGTGGAAGGGAAACTTTCTCTCAGACAAAATCTAGTGGAACAATTAAGTTCCAAGGATAAAGACAGTATCAGCCATCTGTTCATTAAAAACAAACAAACAAACAAACAAACAAACAAACAGCTTTATGTATCAGTCAGGGTGCTTTCTTCAACAAGCAGTAAGTCCTGAAGTTCAAACTGGACTAAAGATAATAAGAAGCCCAGCAGGCAGGAGGGCTCCAGGTATGATACCTCAGGATACAGCGTCATTTTCTTCTGTGAAGTAAAATGGACACTTGGGAATGCTACCATGGCAGTTAAGTGCATGTGTCACACCCAAAGTTAGGAGAAAATGACAAGGTAAGCATTTCGGACCTTGAAGTAAGCCAAATCAAAACACACGGGGTCACTCTGACACATTTTAGAATCCCAGTACTAAGGTTATTTGAGTCATGGCTATAAGTCATTGACCTCTTGACCTAAAATGCTTTTTTCTGACTTTCATAATGTGATAACTGAAGATCTGTTGCAATCTGTATGGATACAATTTTCATTTGAACATTTTGTGGGTCCCCCCCTTACCCCGTGAATAATTTTATTAGCCATAGTAATTCTGTTTGTGTTATTCTTCCTCCAAAAACATGTGATGTTTCCTTGCTTAGCAATCCATTCTCTGAAGTCTGAACTTGGAACTATTTTGCAAATAACATTCTCTTCTTGCTTTAAGTGCATTTGGCTATATCTTCCTGCCACAGCTGAGGGCTGCCAAAGCACTAGGAGGCATCTCTTACTAAAGCAGGCACACTCTGTTTTCCCAGCCCTTGATGGCTTACAGGAAGCACTGCAGCCCGACGTTCACTGAGCTGCACGCATTTGATGTCATGTTTGCTGGCTCTGTTTCTCTTTAGTTTCTAGATTAAATTCTTGGCCAAGTTTCTGGTTTGGGTTCTGACTTGTGTAGAGTGACTTACTTATTTCCCATAGTGGGGTTTTTTGATGATGAGACAATTTGGCAATCACTGCAGGAATTTTGGTTGCTAAGGGTGTGTGTGTCTGTGTGTGTGTGTGTGTGTGTGTGTTAGGAGGTACTGATATCCCCTGGGACCCTGAGCTGTGTTTATATTACTTGCATATCAGTATGGGCTCAAATCACTCAATAAGGAAAGTGTTCACTTTCCCTGAATGGAGAGTGGCCCTTTGATATCTGTAGATCCATCAACTGGTTTGTGTTTTATGATCTCTAAGTAAAGCTGAAAAAAATGACTCTCTTTTCTGTGTGTGTAAATAAAAGCCCGCTGTGGTCCCCCAGTTCTCCTGATTTTGCCCTTTCTCACAATGGTTCTGTCTTTGCACTCTGATGGCTGTAGCACTTCTGCCCATAATGTTCAGATATTGTGCCATGCAAAGAAAAAACACAGACCTCCTCCTCCTCCTCCTCCAAATCTTAGAAACAAGCAAACCTTCCCCAGATATGCTATCTGACTTTCACTCATGTTTCATGGCTAATATTGAACATTTTCTACGTGGGTCCCTGACAAGGAAAATAAGATCACTGTGACTAGATAAAATCAATTGTTAGGTGTGAAAAGAATATTGTGGCATCAGCTGCTGTATCCACCTAAGTTACTGACAGTAAATATAAAATTCAAGGTGCATGGGACTTTTCAGAAAGTGTCATTACATGTGCTACTTGAGAAAGTGTCAACTTTGTAAAATGCAAAGTTGATCAGGATAAGAAATACAGGAGAGGTGAGAGAGTAGCTTAGAGTAAAGTGCTTGCCTAGGGTGGGTGAAGTCCTGGGTTCAATCTCTGGCACCAAAAAGAAAACAAAACAAACACACAACAAACATACTAATCAGGAAAGGTGGAGACATGTTGAGAAGGTGGTGAGTATGAGATGGAGAATAATGGCTCCCCAAAACTATCCATTCCAAAGGTACCTTTTCCTTAGAACCTGTGGATGTGCTACCTTACATGGTGAAGGTATGTGTAGACATGATCAAAGATGAGGTGTGAAGATCATTCAGGATATTGGGCGGGCCCCCTGGCTTCTGGTCTCACAGTGTAATCTCTCCTACCACATGTCATCTTCCATGTTGTGATGGAGCAGAAAGGCCCTCACCAGAGCTAGGCAGGTGCTGGGACCATGCTCTTGAATCTCCTGAGCTATGAGCTAAATATACTTCTTTGCTTTATAAAGTACCCAACTTCAAGTACTTTCTTGTAGTGATTAGAATGTAGGCTAATACATGTGTCTGTTCATGGTTGGTTTATTTGTGTGTTTTTGGTGATTTTTTAAAAAAATCTCTGAATCAGTTTTGGTTGTTCATGATAAATACTTATAGGCTGATGTTATAATAAATTATCACAAACAGTGGCTTAACACAACACACACTGATTTATCTCAGTGGTCAGAAGTCAGAAGCGCATTTTATGTCATAAGAGCTGCATTTCTGCTGGAGGCTTCAGGGGAGAATCTCTTTTTTTCTTCAGGATTGTAGAATATAGTCGGACATGGTGGCACATGTCTGCAATCCCAGCAGAAGGGAGGCTGAAGCTGGAAGAGTGCTGTGAGTTTGAGGCTAGCCTGGGCTCTGTAGTGGGTTCAAGGCCAGCCTGAGAGGCCTTGTCTAGTACGACCTAGTAAGCCCTTGTCTCTAAAAAAAAAGAAAAAAAAAAAAAGATTGTAGAAGCACCTGTGTTCCTTGGGTTATGGCCTCTTGCTCCCTCTAAAGTATACCACTCCATGCTAGAATTTGCATATGGGATCGTCCTCCGCTAGCGATGTGAGGCCAGAAGAAGTGTAGCCCTGTTCACAGGAGCCAGTTTTGTTTCCCAGTTTCTTCGGCTGTTGCAGAATTTATCCTAGGTGGTGTAACTAAGGTTTGTTAGTGAGGGTGAACTAGGCGGGGCACATGGTACCGATGCAAATCCTCCACCTATGAAACCCCCTACCTCACAAATGGCGAGGTAGACAGGATTTTGAGTTTGCAGATAAGGAAAGTGAGGTTCGCAGCAGTGAGCTGGCTGTTTATGTGCTCCAAGGTGGCAGATAACTCCGTTTACCTGTACCTGATGCGCCCAGCTTCTTTAACAGGCTCAAGGATAAACATCCAGGAAGCTCTGAAAGCCGCGACTGCGACTGTATTACTTGGTAAATGTGAGCTTGTTGCTCTTTCCTGGTAGATTCTAAATTCTTCAATGGACCGGCTGGCGGGAAACAGCGCAAATCTGAGCGGGGTTCAAAGCGTGCGCTGAGTGCTAGCCACGCAGCAGACACCCGCAAAACGGCCAATCCCGACGCCTGGCTGGACGCCCACCTGGTTTGGCTCCAGGACTCTGTCCTTCCACCACAACATCTCAGAACCTGAAACCTTCCGGAGAGGCTCGGGGGAGCGGGGAGGGTAACGGGGAAGTCCTGGCTCTAGAGATTTGGAGACTTCCCTCTCCCCGGGATGCTTTCCGTTAGTTTCTAGAGCGTTTTCCTTTTTCGCTTAAGCGCAGGAGCTCGCTGGCCTTTGCAGGACCTGCCGGTGTCCACAGGGTGCATGGGCGCAGGAGTGCGTCCGAGGTCGCAGTCTGGCTGGGCCGGCTGGGGGCGGGGGCCGAGGGCGGGGACTGGAGGGGGGCGCCCTGTGCGGTCCCGGTCCCGGTCCCCGGCGTCCGAGCTCCTCTGCAGCACAGCGCCGGGCACATGGAGCCTTCCTTGGAGTCAGGGCCCAGAGTCCCCCCGGCCACCTCCGAGCGCCGCGGTCTGCGCTGCCCGCTGCTGTCCGGCTTCCGAGAGGAGCTGCTGGCGCTCATAATCTTGGCCGGTCCCGCGGTGAGTCTCCGGGCCTCCGCGGCAGGCTGGTGCTGGTGGGTTGGGAGCGCGGCGGTTTGTGTGGCAGCCTGAGATCTGGCGCAGGTGGGGACCGAGCCGGGCGCACTGCCCCGAGCCTCCGCGCCGCAGAACGCTGGGCACCGGGACTTGGGCGCCCAAGGCACCTCACGGTTGCTGTTTGGACGCGGATCACAGCAAACGAAGCAAAAGTTACTTCAACTAACGCTCAGTTTTTTATTTCTTTGCAAACTAGCAGTAAAGCACCCCCAGCTCGGGTGTCTATCCTGAGGCTAGGAGGAGCGTGTTGAAGGTGAATTGCCAGTGTTTGGCATCTAGAGTCAAGCTCTGCAGAGGAAGCTAGAGGCATCCTGAGCGACACTTCCCTCCCCGCTGATAATGGTATTACAAAACCGAGTTTTTAAAATGCGGGTTCTTATGGAGTTGAAGTCTCTCTCAATCTCTCTCTCTCTCTCTCTCTCTCTCTCTCTCTCTCTCTCTCTCTCTCTCTCTGTTTTACACCAGTAGACAAGGCCTTTTTTAACCTTAAAAAGTAATGTGGGTTTTTAAAACCACAAGAATCACAACATACAATCCTACTCCTGTTCTCTTGCCAGTTTGGGTAGTTTTCAAGCCCCAGGGGCAGGAGAGCCGCTTTACTGGACAAGAAGCAGCAAGTCTGTGCTCAAGGCGAGATACCCTTTTGGCTGTGCAGCAGACATTCTGCACCTGCGCGGGCCAGGGCAGGCAGGTGTGTTCTCCTGGAATGGGGACAACACTGTTGTTCATGGGATCTGGTGATATCCAGTGTGGCACAAAGCCACGAGTGGAAATATGTCCAGTACGTAGGCATTGGTGATTCTCAGCAGACTGGAAAGAGCATCTCAGCAGACTGGTTTAGAACGTCAAGATCTGGGATTCTTTGAACTTAGATCCAAGGGTTAAAAGTCCAGATGACCAGGACTGGAAGGCCACAATTTAGGAGCTGACAGTTGGAAGGAAGGAGTAATATTTGTTCAAGAAGGTTCAGCCACCTGGAGAAGATAGAGGGGCCAGCACCTCAAGCTTTATGTTGGGGGACATCAGGGCCAACAAAGGTGGAGGAGCACAGAAGGAAAGCTACATGCTGAGCAGAGTCTTTGAAATTGTTTTTTGTTCTCCAGAACATCAAAATGGACCTCAATTTCCTAGGACTAGCTGCAATTTAAAAAAAAAATGCTTTGTGGTAGTGATTTAAAGAACCTATAACTAAGGCTCCTTGCTAAGGTTCTCAGGTGTTCCGGGTTTGGTAAATGTAGAGAGTGACCCAGCAGTTAACAGCTTATCCATCCACGTGGGGCTTCTCCTCAGCAAAGTATGGTGGGAGAGTTGGAAGAGTGCATGGAGGGGAAAGTGAAGGGCAGCTCCGAAGGAGCCGCTGTGATCTCCCCAAGGTGTGCCAGGAAACAGCTCTGTGCCTCTTCTAGTCTCTGCTTATCTGTCCATAAAATAAGACAATAGTCTGTGCTTTGGAAAGGCTTTACGAAGCCAGTATTGACTTCATAGTGCTGAAGAACAGAGCAACAACAACGGGACAGCTTTCTGAAACCCAGCATTTCCCAATGACCTGGTTCCTTGATGAGGGCACCTTCCTGGGAAAGACCTAGAATGATAAGGACAGGGACTCGCCCTTTCTGATTGCGTGTGCCATGCAGCTTTACTTGTTGTGCTTATGGTTGTGCTCATTCCAAATGCAATACATTGCAGGAAAAGAAAAAAGAAAGAAAACCAGGACTAACAGAAGAATAAATACCTCTGGATCTCACTACCGGAGATAACTTGGCAATTTCCCCCAGTTCTTGGTGTGCATACTCCTGTGAATGCTCTTCAGAGAAGTGATCAGAGATTTTCAGCACTGCTTTAGTCTCTTACAAATCCTACATGGAGCCTCACTTACTCTGTCTTTATCTCTATCCCCATCTCTTATGAATTTCCTAATTCCTCAGTGACGCGGGGTAGGAGGAGACTGTCCGTGTCCAGTGCTCTTCTCTGTGGCTCTTCTATAACATGGGCAGGAGGCTAGCTTGGCACACCTCTCTACACATGGTTTTCCCTCTTCATTCACCATTTTCTTTCTGGACTCCCCAAGTTATCATGTTATCTCTAACCCTCAAGGTCCTTAAGATTTTCCAAGCTACTTTCCCAGTAGTCTTAAATGAAGCCTCACCTTCTCTTTTGATTCCTTTGAGACACAATCTCACTATGTAGTCCCGTGGGCCTTAAGCTTTCCACCTTCTACCTTCAGCCTTCTGAGTAGGGTGACTGTAGATTTGTGCCATTGTGTATAGTTTAAATGAGGTCTTGTAAAAAAGAATAATCCATACTGTAAAGGAAAGATTGTAGGATGAATAGCTTTAAATTTCAAAAATTCTCTTCATTTTATCTTTCAGAAGGCTGCAGGAAAGTGGATAAGTTCTTGGGAAGCAAAGGGGTGGTATGCAAATACCTTGCCCCAGGCATTCCCACCTCACCTCACTTTCTTTTCCTCTTCTGCCTCTCCTACCAGGCAGGGTTGTCAGTCTTGAAAAATAACCTCAAAGACAGATTCTTCATGGACATGGGCTGATATAACAAAGGTGGGACTGCCTTGGCCTGTACTCTTGGGAAAGAGCTCCAGAACCTCTCAGGGCTACAGTGCTGAAAATCAGGGAAGGCTGGGGGTGGCATCCAAGCATGGGAGTCAGAGCTTGGGCCCACGCATATGCACGTACACACACACACACACACACACACACACACACACACAGAGTTTGAATTGTCTCAGGCCTGGGGAAGTCTTTAGCAGGAAGTGGTTAGTGACAGGGAAATGTTATGAGGGACAGGAGAAAATCTGGGCTAAAGGAGAGGAAAATGAAGGAGAAGAAGATGGTTCCTCTTCCAGACAGGTCCAAGAGTGAGTGAGTGGGTGGGAGGGAGTACTCAGTGATGGTGGACACTGGAAAGAGAGCTCTGGGACCCTCTTTCCTCCTCTCCAGCCTACTTGAAGCCCATTCTCACCAAAGCATCTAGTTTTAGCACCCTGAAAGCTCTCGGAGGGGTGTACCTCTTCACATCTTCACTCTGTGTGAATCCCAACAGCCTCTAGTCTTTCCTCTCTTCAGCTCATGTGGCCCAAAATGTATCACATGAAATCACTGAAATCTATTTAATTTTTATTTGTTATTTTTGGTACTGGGAATCAAACTCTCGAGCTTTCCAGGTGGGCACTGGGCCACTGAGCTATATTCTAGGCCATGAAATCCCTATGTGCGTTTTGAATGCACATCTAAGGTGTCACATCCCCGCTCAATGCCGTGACCTTGGTTTGTAGAGTCCGCAGTGGTTTGGCTGTTGCTGAGCATCCTGCTTAGCCTGTGACACTGCCTCCTGCGGCCCTCCACCGGCCAGCCTTCCGTCCACCGTCAGCCTACCTGGACCCCGTCTGGTTTTCCACCTGAGAAGTCTGTCAGCCAGGGTTTGGCTCCACTTTGCTGCCCCTGGAACCTTCTGTCTCACCCTCTGTGCCCTTCTGGCTCAGCACACACACATACTTGTTGCAGCCTCAATGTCTTTCCTTCTATAGGGCTCCATAAGGTAGGAATGGAGTGATGGTGCTTGGTTCACCCACACCCACAGTCCTAGTGCTTGGGATTTACTTTCTGCCCCAAACATAGCTGTCCTGGATGGACTGAGTCGAGCCAGGTGACTCTGGGCAGGAGCTTCCTTGGGTGTACAGAGAGGAAGCTGTCTCAGGGGACTGCTCAGGTTCCTTCCCACGCTGACTTTCTACTGTGGAGAGTGGACTTCCAAGTCCTCATGAATGGGGTCGGAGGCTCTTGTCACACTCTTGCATGGGCAATGGGGCAGATAGCTGGCCTGAAGCATGATTTTCACAAGTGACTGTGCTGTGAGAGTGTTTATCCCACTACCTGGTTGTATATTGCTGCCTGGATTTAAAAAAAAATGAGAAAGAGCCTGGATAGGAGGAAGAGACATCCAGGTGCAATGATGGCTCATACCTGTAATCTCAGCCAGCACTCGGAAAGCTGAGGCAGGAGGATCACTGTGAGCCTGGAGCCAGTCTGGGAAATATAGGGAGTTCAAGGCCAGCCTTGGAGCCTTGTCTCATAAAAATAAAACAAGGGACAGATGTCTAGTCAATCTGGCAGTTGTGGGGTTGTGCAGGGGACAGACCTCAGGACACATGTTCTCCCACTGAGCTACGGCGCAGCCTTGGCTTCCATTGTCAGTTTGGCTCCATCTGAGCACTGCCAGTTCAGCTCAACGCTGTTTGACAGCTGCCTCTGAAAATGACATGGAACAAACCTTTGCCCCAAAGTGGTGACGTCACCAAAAAGTGGCCAAGGAGACCCCAAGGCAGAGGTGGGAAACCTTGATTCCACTCGAGCCCAGGTTGCAGGTTTGCTGACTCCCATGACTGCAAGAGGATTTTCAGACGGCGCAGGTAAAGAAGCATAAAGAAATTTATTAGGCTAAGCTTTAAAAGTATGCATCCAGAGAGGTAGAGTGTGTGCCTTCCGGAGACAGGCGTATTATGGCCTGGAACCAGGTATAGTTATGTGTGTTTGATGATAGAATTTGTGAATCTATAGAAAGTTCAGGGTTGGTTTACAGGAGAAGACTCAATGGCCCCATTCACAGTAGTGGGATAATGACTCATTTCACTTTTACAGGTGAGAGGTAGGGGCCCAGTCTACTTTTAAAGTCAACATCTGCCCTTCACCTTATCAATTAAGCTAATTTAGTTATTTAGTTTTCAAGGTCAGGATTCTGCCCCTTACCTTATAGGTTAGGGTAATTTATGGATTTCAAGTATCTTTAAGGAAGTTTGGAGGTGATGGGCCTGAAAGAAAAGAAGTATAAACGAGAGAGTGCAGACACCGATAACTCTGGGTAACTTCGTGTCTGGACATGCAGTCTTCTTAAAAGTACAGTTTTTAATTTATGACTTTCCTTGTCTCCTTGATCCACCTCTCTTGCCTTCTCGTACCCTGCCAGTGAGTTCCTGTCACCTGGTGACAGACTTCCAGAGTCTGGAGCACTCTTGGAGTGGGGTCGCTCCCGCCCTCGCTGGGGTGGGGATGGAGCGCTTGCGCAGTGCAGACGCCGTGGCTTGCAGGCCTTTTCCACAGATCTTTTTTTCAAGGCAGCTTTAGTTTTAATAATTTTTAAATTTTTGTGATACATTTGTGCAATTCAGGCAGTTTACAAGCATCTTGGGAAAGGTTACAAGTACATATTACAGCTTGTTTCTTTTCTTTTTCTTTTTAAATTTATTTATTTTTTGTGTATGTATGTGCAGTGTCTCGCTATCCAGCTTGAACTTGTAGTGATCCTCCTGTTTTCAGCCTCCCCAGCACTGGGATTACAGGCATGTGCCACTGGTCTTGGTGGCTAGCTCAGTGGGCCTGGGGGCGGGGCTGGCATGGACTGTTGTGCCTCGGATTGAACTCTGGCCCCTGTTCTTGCCTAAGCAAGTGCTTAATCCACTGAACTATCTTGCTGGCCTTTAGATCAATACTTTAAAAAAATCCTCTTTCTCTTCCCTCCTTCTTTCGCCCTCTTTTCCTGGTTCCTCTATCCTCTTTCTCGCACTTGTTCATCTTATTTGTCTTAGCTCATGTTATGGCATAGTGCTTCCATTAACTATGGTTATTAGGTTCCTGTACATGGCTCATTTTTTATTCTTATTTCCCCCTTTTCTCCTTCTCACCCCTCACTCTTGTTCCCTTGGGCCCTTCCCCTATTGCAAGAGATCTGTCCCCCTGTTCCTTTCTATCCATCCTTTATCATTTTAAATCAGACTCTTGAGATGGACCAGGGCCAGGCCTTTTAAAAGCCCCAGGTGGCCCTGGTGTGCACAGCCCATGGTCTGTGGCCAGGAGTTCATCCAAAGACTTGAAACAGAATCTGCGCAGGGTTAGGAAATTGAACCTCCTGAGCCCTGCTCTGCTGGGACTGAGGCTTGGGTGGGGCTGGCTGCCCTTGGCTGCCCAAATTGGAGAGGATCTTAGCTACATTCCTCAGGGATTAGACACAGCACCTGACACCTGCAGGTTAAAGGAAGAGAGGCTTCCTTTGGCTTTGCTTTTAGTCCGTAGGTGGCTGGCTCCAAGGAAGGATGGTTCAGTTGAGCTGAACTGGCAGTGCTCAGTAGGTGGAAGCCCCTGGCAGAGGAAAGTGGCTCGCTTCATGGCAGCCAGGAAGCAGAGTGAAGTGTGGAGGGAGAATGGTGAAGGGAGGTACATCCTGCTGGGGCCCGCCCTAAGTGACCTACATCTCCAGACCCCCACCACCTTCTAATAGAGAGCTAGCTAGCTGTCCTGTACGCATAACTAGTCACCATTCAAACACCCTGCCTTTGAGCACACGAGGCTTTGAGGGGCTGTCTCGGTATAAACTGTAACAGGCAGTGGGTATGCAGCTTCCTTCCTTGCCATAACCCAAGGGAAGCAGTGGCAGCCCCACCAAGCAGCTGCGTTAGCTTGCATTGCCACTGACGATACCTCTCCCAGGGATTAGATGAACCTAGCTTGACCTCCTGGCCTTCTGTAAAATGGACTTCTGCTCCCACCCTTAGACTGGGCACTCACCCTATGAAAATACCCGATTCCCACCCAAGCGCAGGAGACACTCACAGCAATAGGATTTACAAAGGTAAAGTTTGGGCTGCCCTCCAAGGGCCGGATGGTGAGAGAGGCTGAGCATGTCTTCACAGGAAGCCACGAAAACGTGTGGCCAGTAGGAAACAGAACTGAAGACACAGCTGGTGCCACTGAACACACCACAGACTATCTGTAAGCGAAGTGACAGCACCTATGTCACGGCACGGGTCCTAGGATGCGCCTGTGGTGATCCTGTGCCTCTTGCTTTAGATTCTGTAAAATCAGGCTGCACACATCAGCTTTTTCTTAAAATATTAATTTTTATTTACATGCAGGGCTGGGGATCCACCCCAGGGCCTTGTGCATGCTAGGCAAGTACTCTACTGCTGATGTGCACTCCCAAACTCAACCTTTTGTATCGG